TGGAACAGCCGAACGGGCCGGAGCCGGCCCGCGGGCTGTAGTTTGCCCACGGCTGATAGACTTTCCAGGCATTGGGGGCAGATGCACTGATAATAAAATGTGGTCCCTATGCCTTTAGAAGCATAGCCTTCAGGTGTGAAAATCAAAAGCAAGCAAACAAACAAAAAACCCACCAAAAAACATAAACAGCCCTAGCTGGTTTGGCTCAATGGATAGAGCGTTGGCTTGTGGACTGAAGGGTCCCAGGTTCGATTCCAGCCAAGGGCACATGCCTGGGTTGCGGGCTTGATCCCCAGTAGGGGGCGTGCAGGTGGCAGCCAATCAGTTATTCTCTCTCATCATTGATGTTTCTATCTCTCTCTCCCTCTCCCTTCCTCTCTGAAATTAATAAAAATATATTAAAATAAAAATAAACAGAAATCAACCCCACAACCTTACTTGCTTCAGTGAGCATAAAGTTACAAGGTAAGAGACAGGAGTCAGAGAAAGATATGAGGCTTCCTTTTCCCCCTCCCACTTTGGCCTGCATTTGGGACTCACCCAGGAACTAGGTTCCACACTCCCACCCCTGCTCATGAGAGCTGGTGCTGAAGTCTGGAAGACTGACTTACTCCAAGTGAGAACAGTTTTCAATAGGTCAATGGCATGATGAAAAAAAACAGCTGGTAGGAAGGGGGGTTGTTCTGTATTAAAAGCAAATAAAGCTCTGGCCCTTAGAACATCGGCCCATGCACCGAAGGGTCGTGGGTTCGATTCCAGGTCAAGGGCACATACCTGGGTTGCAGATTAGATCCCCGACCCCAACTGGGGCAAGTTCAGGAGGCAACCAATCGATGTGTCTCTCTCACATTGATGTTTCTCTCTCTCCCACCCTCCCTCTACTCTCTCTAGAAATTAATGGGAAAAAAGTCTTCAGGTGAGAGTTAACACACACACAGACACACACGGAAGAAAGAAGAAAGAAAGAAAGAAAGAAAGAAAAAATAAAGCAAATAAAGATCTTACCAAAGGGCTGAAACCTGAGTCCAATCTACTCTTTGAATCCAACTGACAATCTACTGGAAATCCCCAGGAACCTGCTGAAGTGCACCATGAGCATGCAGTAAACAAAATCCAGGCTGTGGGCAATTCTCCAGGTCAAATGCCATGGGTTCTTCAATAGATAATCTGTATAGGGATAAATAATCTGTGATAGCTATACAATGGTTATTTAAGATGTTAACAAGGGGAAGCTAAGTGAAGGGTATAGGGAACTCTCTATATTATCTTTGAACTCTCCCATAAATCTAAAATTATTCCAAAATAAAAAATTTAAATAGACAATTTAAGGGTCATATCTATTTTTATGGGCAAGACTAAACCATAGTCATTAGGGAAGTACATTTGGGTAATAAAACCATAGAAAGGCAAGGAAAAATTACTCTAAATGTCAAGATAATGGTCAGTTTGGGAGAAGAAAGAGGGTTGTGATTGAAATGGGGCACAGGGGGAGGCTTCTGGAGTGGGTGGAAACATTTTCTTTCTTTACCTAGTGGTGGCTGCAAGGTGTTTATCTTATAATAATTCATTAAGCTATACATTTGTTTTAGGTAGTTTTTTGTATTTGAGTTTTATTTTACAATAAAAAAATTAGAGAGCAAGAGAAACTTAAGAGACACAGCATCCAAATATAATCAGTGGATCTTATTTGGATCCTGATTCAAATGAACCAACTATAAAAAGATATTTGAATATGGACTGGCTATTAGATGTTATTACAGAATTAGTAAATTTGTTAAGGCTGATAGTGGCATTGTTATTACGGAAGAAAAATCCACATTTTTGTTGATGCATAGTGAAGTATTTAGGAATAAAATGACATGCCTTAGAATTTCTTAAAAACACTCCAAGAAAAAAAGGAAGTAAGGAGATAAATGAAACAAGTATGGCAAAATATTAATAGTATGAAGATGAACACAAAGATGAAAATTTCTTTCTTTCTCTAGTTTTGTGTGTGTTTGGAAATTTTTATAATAGAAAGTTAAAACAGGGGACAGCCCCAAACCAGGCTGCCTTAGGTCAACAGTCAGTTACAACAGAGACCTAATCCCAGGTGCTCCCCACCCCCACACACCTCCGGAGCTCCCCTCCCACCAGCCATCTCCCTGAGGTCACAAACCCTGTACTCTCCAAGTGGCCTGTGAGAGGTGTTTTTCTTCTCTGGATTTCTGGGTCAGTGGGACTAGATTGCAGTCCTCAACCTTCTCGATCCTGATTTCCCAATAAGCACAGAAGAAAGAGTCAAAGGGCAAATGTGCAGAGGCCAGGGCTCAGATCTGATAGGGCAGTCCTTAGTACTCCAGAGCCTGCCCCTGAAGCGAGTGGTAGGTGTGGGACAGCACAAGACGGGAAGAGAGCAGGTAAAAAGCCTCATAGTCACTACTGAGTGAGCTTCCAGAGGCTGGTGGCACCTTTGTTTGGAACACTGTTCTGGGATCTTCGTCTCTGTCAGGCTCCTGGGTATCATGCCTTGTTTTAAGCAGCCTAAGCATTTCCAGAGTCTCATACTTCTGCATTGGCCCTTGAGCTACCTTGCCTTATGTGAGTACTAATCTAAGAATGCATGGCAAGACGCCAGAGTCAGGGGCCAGGGCGAGATCTGGGGTGATTTTTAAGTTCATAAAAAGTCTCACCTCTGGCCTTTCATCATCTCAGATGGTACTGCAGAGTAAAGGCAAGGAGTCTCGAGTTTCATGAGTGCCCTGGAGAAGGAAAAGATAGAACCCCAGGGGCAGTAAAGACAGGCAGGGGTAGAACAGGGTCATGGTGGATATGAGTAGCTCTAGCTCCTTTCAACCAGTTGCTAACCCTTGCTATCTGGAGAAGGGAAAGGAGGTCCAGGGAATAGGCATGATAAGTTCATTATCATAAGGAAGCATGGGGAGTGGGAGAGAGGAAGCATTAGCATTACAGACTTAGAAAAGTATATAGCCTGTGTTTGAACCAGTGAATAGAGATAATGGAAATAATGGTGAAGGGTGAGAGGACAAGAATGGTGGATGGGATACAGATGTTGTTTGGGGCGGGTGTGGGGAGATATGGACAGTATATGGGCAAGGGAGGATGGGCTAGTGGTTTAACAGCGTTCAAGGATAAAGGATAGGGAGGGAGACAAGTGAAATAAGATGGTGGGCAAATGGGAGCCGGGTAAAAGCTGATGGCAGGCAGGAAGCAGGAGTAGAGGGATGGTGGATTGGCAGGAAGGCAGGTAGACAGCGGTGACAGGTAAGCAAAGAAATAGAACTGGTGTGTGCTAGATGATAGAGGAAATATTTGAAGGAAAAGTAGACATGGATAGTGGATGGAAAGGAGCTGAATTGTGCAGAAGGCCAGGACAAGAGGCTTGTGTAGTTTCTTAATAGGGCTGGACATGGTCAAGTTCCTCTGGCAGCACAAATTTGGTCTTGCTCTCTCATCAGTTTGGATCGTGCAGCCATTGTTCATTTACCTGCTATTTACATCCTTGTGGCTACTACCAGCCCTTTACTTTGCCTGGCTTTTCCTGGACTGGAAGACCCCAGAACAAGGTAAGACTCGTGGGCCTAGAAAGAACAGGACCTAAGAATGTTCCATCTTAACCTGTAACTAGGGAGTCCCACTCACCATACCAAAGGCCTTTCATCACAATTCTCAGAGCCACAGGAACTGGGCCAGCCAGGACCATCCTGGGGTCTTTTTCTTTTCCAGCTCTCTAGTAAAGCCATGGTCCCTTTATGCTGCTAGGAAAGGCCTGGGAATGGTTGGATTGACACACACAAACACTATCCCTACTGATATTTCTGTCTCAGGTGGCAGGCGATCCACCTGGGTAAGGAACTGGTATGTCTGGACCCAGATCAGGGACTATTTCCCCATCACGGTAAGTGTCTTTTCCTTAGCACCCTTCACAGTTCCCCAAATACTAGGCATTTATGTCAAATGACTAGGGTTGTCCATAGGGGAAATGAGCATCCCACACATATCTCAGTGCAAGCTAGACATACTTTATGATCCAACATTGCTGCCAAGTGTTCATTACTCTGCTAGGACACTTTGGATGCCCTTGGCATGGTCTACCAGATGACAGGCAGAAATGGAAATGCAGTTCAGTTCAGTTTAACAAACATTGATTGAAAGCCTACTTTGTGCCACAGGTTTGGGGTACAGAGAAGTGAGTAGAATACCATCCTCTGCCATCAAGGTGCTCATATCTAATGGGGAGGGCAGATTATATATTTATGGTTTAGTACAAGGTATACAAGTAGTTCAAATGATGGATAAGGAAAGGCACTCAATAAAAGTTACTTAGGTGGGCACTGAAATGGGGTTGGGGAGAAAATACCAGGAAGGGGGTCTAGGAATATACTGCTACACTGATCCTCTGAGCACACTTTGGATCAGACAACAAACACTTTCCTGACTTTTGGAGGTGAGTTTACTGATCTTTTTCACTTAAGAGCACTCATAGAAAATGATACCATCTATGAAGTGCACTGACATAAATGGTTGAGACTCCTTGTAGCCATAGGCAAGAGACCCAGCAGTTCAGCTGCCCAGACTCTGCCTGGTTTCTCAGGAACTGAGAAGACCAATACCTCAGCCCCTGAATCCCACTCATGGCCTATGTGTTGAAAAGGTCTGGTTTAGAGAGTGCCCTGATCCCTGAAGTGTCTCCACCTTTGCTTCCCCATGTGATCTCATTCCACCACCTCTGTAATTTCTCTCCATGACTGCAGATCCTGAAGACTAAAGACCTGTCACCTGAGCACAACTACCTCATGGGGGTTCATCCCCATGGCCTCTTGACCTTTGGCGCCTTCTGCAACTTCTGCACTGAGGCCACAGGCTTCTCGAAGATCTTCCCAGGCATTACTCCCCACTTGGCCACGCTATCCTGGTTCTTCAAGATCCCCTTGATTAGGGACTACCTCATGGCCAAAGGTGCTTCTGACCATACTAGATCTTCTAACCCATTTCTCCTCTTGGAGATGCACCTTTTTAAGCCTCTCATATCCTGCCTCTCAAACCCTCTCACCACCTTTATAGCACAGTAGTTAAAAGCATATGTTCTGGAGCTAAACTGTGGTCTCACAAGCACGTCAAACTCATGACCTGCGGGCCACAAGCCTTGAGGCTGCAAGGTTGACATGCTTGGAGGGCAATCTACTGAATCTTTATTGGTCTGTTTCCTCATATGTAAAGTGGTGCTGCTGCTGATTGTCTGACCTCAGATGTGGTGTGTTGACTAAATGAGACAATACAAGTCAAGTGTTCAATATAGTGTCTGCCACAGAATATGTGCTCAATAAATAATCGCTGTTGAAATTAATGGTGATAAAGCAAAAGAGTAGAATTATAATGGAATTCTAAAAGTCCTGGTTGTCTCACTGAAAACCTTTCTGCTATAGTTTTGACCCAGTGCCTCCTACAAAAGTGGAGATATTGCCTCAAAGTGAAATGTGTTGTGTTTGCCCACAGCCTTCTCTTCTCCACACCCTTTGTCCCATCTCATTACCTCTCCTCCTGGGACACATGGGATCAAAGGGCACACAAACAAGCCAGTGAGAAGTAGAACAGAGGGTATTCTCTCTCAGCCTTTTTTCCTCTCCTGATCATTTTGCTCCTGTCTGTGCTCCTTGATTCTTTCAGGTGTGTGCTCCGTGAGTCAGCCAGCCATCGACTACCTGCTGAGCCACGGCACTGGCAACCTTGTGGGCATTGTAGTGGGAGGGGTGGGTGAGGCCCTGCAAAGTGTGCCCAACGCCACCACCCTCATCCTCCAGAAGCGCAAAGGGTTTGTGCGCACTGCCCTCCAGCATGGGTAGGTGTTCCTCCCAGGGCAAGGGTGGGTGGCCTTCTCTGAGCAGCATTCTCTGGTAAGCAATGCCAAGATAAATGAGACATGACTCTTGCTCTCATTGAACTTACTAGTAAGTAGGGGAGATGGTCACAGAATTTCAAAAAGGTTCAGGTCAGATACTCCTTCTGAGCTAACTAGACCTTTTCCCAGCAAGCCAAACTACAAACCCAGATTCATTATGAGAGGAATTGGCTAGAGCTGCCATGGTATATAGAGGACTCCTACATTATCTCTCTCAACATCAATATGTATATTTTCCCTTAATGTTAAGTGCAAGAGGTAGTACAGTATGGTCAGTATGCACCAGGATCTGGAGTCAGGGGCCTGATTTAAAATCCTGGCTCCATGACTTACCCTGCACTCTGAAATAGCTTACTCAACTATTCTGAGCTTTCATGTTTTCATCTTTATAACATAGCTACTAATAATTGTATCTACTTCATTGGATTATTGTGGGGTTTGAATGAATTCATGTTCATAAAACACTGACCATGTGCCTGGCACACAGTAAGCGATGGATACACATTAGTCACACTGACATAGGGGAAAAGAGAGGAGATAAGGAGCTGGAGATGTGGGGTGTCCTACCAGATCAGCAGGCAGACGCACTGAACACAGGGACAATTGTCCTACTACAGACTCAGAAAAGAGGGAAGCGTTTCTTCTAATAACCTTGCCTGAGTGGTCTGTTGATTAGTTTGGAACAAATGTAGGGGGAGAGAGTTCTGAGCTCAGAGGAAGGAGTCCTGGGGTCCTAGTCCAGGTCCCGCCACTCACTGATTACCTGACTGACCTTCCCACTTCTGAACCTGAGCTTCTGTATCTGGAAGGTAATGAAAATACCTCCCCCCCCCAACACACACACACACACTGTGTCCTCCACTGTCTCTGCTATGAAGACCCAGTAAGGTAATGTAGGTCAGAGTGCTGAGAGATTACTATTAGTAACTCACAAAGATTTGTATAAGAGAGATTGTGTTCTCTTTACACTTCTCTCACAGGAAGACTTAAGGAGCCTGATTCCCTACCTGGGGCACTGTCAGGGTGGATTCCCATGGCCTATGAGAAGGGAACAACTTTTCTCTGTGCTAAATCCAAAGACCCAAGGACAGAATACGTTATGCATAGTCCCTGTGGGTGAGAGGCATATTGTATGGACACGTCTGTGCAAAATTATTGTTATCTCTGTGCATCCTACTAGTAGAAACAGTCAGCTATTCCCCTCCCTGAACCCTCCTGGAATCTTTTCTTTGCACTGTGTGGGTCTCTGGGGATCTCTGCCCAAACTCCTCTTTCTTCCCTGCACCCCCATATTTTGCCCTTGTAATCCTGGCCCAGATATAGCACTTTCACTGGGCTTGAAAATTCCAGGACAAGAGACACTAAGTGTTGGAGCCCTGTTTAGTATAAGAAGAAATACTTTATGCCACAGGGATTTCATAATGGATGAGGGCCTGGCCATGAACAAGTATTTTTCCTGGGTGGTTTCCACTCTAGAATGTGTCTGGGAAATAAATTGTGGTTTTCCTACAGGGCTCATCTGGTCCCTACCTTTACTTTTGGAGAAACTGAGGTGTATGAGCAGGTACTATTCGAGAAGGACAGCTGGATGTATAAGTTTCAGAGCTGTTTCCGCCGTCTCTTTGGTTTCTATTGCTGTGTCTTCTACGGACGAGGCTTCAGCAGAGGCTCTGCTGGGCTCCTGCCATATGCACTGCCTATCACCACCGTGGGTGAGTGCTGGTCTCAGCCCAAGGGCACCTCAGCTCTTTCTCAACTTCCACCTGAGCCCTGACCGCCCTACCCCGACCAAAGAAAAAGGCAGTAGAGGGGGAGAAGCTGGGAGTTAATTTGAGATGTGAGAGAGAATCAGGCCCAGGAGGTAGAAAGAAGGAGGTTTATGGAACACAAGATTCTCTAACACTTGCCCTTTCTCATTTCTCTTGGCAGTCGGGGAGCCTCTGCCAGTGCCCAAGATTGAGAAGCCGAGCCAGGAGATGGTGGACAAATACCACACACTCTATATGGAAGCCCTGCACAAACTGTTTGACCAGCACAAGACCCTGTTGGGCTGCTCAAAGACCCAAAAGCTGCTTTTCTTGTGACTGAAGAAGCTGAGTGCCTCAAAGAGGAGACTCATTTGCTACTACTGATGAAGGAGGGCTATGTGTGGTCAGGGAGGGAATCAGGAATTTCTTCCTTGGCAGAGAGTCCTTGTAATTGCTGTCCCTGAGTTGCTTCACTCAGTCATTACTCAGATGGAGACATCCTGAGGCCCCTCAGGCCCAGACATGCATGCTCCCTGTTGGGCTCCCTACTGGCTTTCCTCTTTGAGCCCAACCTGTCAGGGCCTGGAAGGCTCAAGTGACTGCCAAGCAGCCTGAGTAGACACCACTCTAGTTGCTATTGTTGTTGTTTTCATGCATTTTTAAAACTGACATATATTTTGCATACTATAAATTTAATCTGGTTTAAAGTATGAAATTCAGTATTTAATATATTCACAGAGTTCTGCAACCACTACCACTATCTGATTTTAGAGCATTTTTCAGGATTTCCACCCACCCACCCCAAAAGAAATCCAGTTCACATTACCCATCACTCCTCATTCCCCTATCTCACCCATACCCTGGCAACCACTAATCCACTTTCTGTCTCTGGATTTGTCAATTCTGGACATGTCATATAATGGAATCATAGAATATGTGGTATTTTATGTCTGGCTTCTTTCATTTATCATAATGTTTTCCAGGTTCACCATTGTTGTAGCATGTATCAGTACTTCATTTCTTTTTGTGGCTGAATAATATTTCATTGTACATATACACCATATTTTTTGTATCTATTCATTGGCTGATGGACTTTTGGGGTTGTTTCCACTTTTTGACTATTATGAATAATGCTGCTATAAACATTCATGTACATTTGTGAGGTAAACTGCTGTCTCCAAATACCAAGGGTTACCTTATGTCCACACCACTGAGCTAACAAGCATGCCTTTAGATAGATCAAAGGCACCTTAGGGTTTCTTTTCAGTTAGCAGAGGTATTTCATATATGCCATTTTGTCCTTATTTTGTTCTAACACCATAATCCCAAGGTATTTGCTACCTTCCTAGGAGTCTATTACAGGAGATCCACTTTATATCTTTATTTTAAATGCTTAAGTTTTTCTTAAAGCTGTATTCTGAGAATTTTAAAAGAGTAAATAAAAACACAGATGTCTCTTCTATTTTTATTTATTTATTTATTAATATATTTCTGTATTGATTTCAATTTCAGATGTACAATTCTATAATGCATCATCTGTATAGTATGTGTGCTCACCACCCCAAGTCAGGTCTCCTTCCATCACTATTTATCACCCCTATAGCCTTTCCTACCTCCTCCCACTCCCACAGATGTCTCTTCTTTCTCAAGGCAATCAACAAATGACCCATTTAAAAACAGAAGAGAAAAGAAAATTTAACAAAAGTTAAAGGACCATTTAGACATTCATACAACTCAATAGCAAAACAAAGCAAAACAAAAACAAACAAAAAAATCCCCAAATGATTCAATTTAAAAATGGGGTAGAGGACCTGAATAAACATTTTTTCCAAAAAAGACATACAAATGGCTAACAGGTACATTAAAAAATGCTCAACTTCACTAGTAATTAGGGAAATAAAAATTAAAACCACAATGATATATCACCTCACACTTTTTAGAATGGCTGTTATCAGAACAACAAGAGATAAGTGTTGGCGAGGATGTGGAGAAAAGGAAAGCCTTATGAACAGTTGGTGGAATTATAAATCGGTATAGCCACTAGGGAAAGCAGTATGGAGATTCCTTAAAACTTAAATATGGAACTTCCATTTGATCCCATTTCTAGGAATATATCCTAAGAAACCCGAAACACCAATCAGAAAGAATATATGCACCCCTGTGTTTATAGCTGCACAATTTACAATAGCTAAGATCTGGAAACAACTCAAGTGCTCCTCAGTAGATTAGTAGATAAAAAAAATCTAGGGTACATGGAAAACTATGCAGCTGTGAAAAAGAAGGATCTCTTGCCCAGCTTGCAAGGCTCAGTGGTTGAGTGTCAACCTATGAACCAGGAGGTCACGGTTCAATTCCAGGTCAGGGCACATGCCTGGGCTGCAGGTTCGATCCCCAGTGTGGAGCATGCAGGAGGCAGCCAATCAATGATTCTCTCTCATCACTGATGTCTCTATCTCTCTCTCCCTCTCCTTTCCTCTCTGAAATATATATATAGATATAGATGTAGATGTAGATAGATATAGATATAGATATAGATCTTATCTTTTGAGATAGCATCAAGAAACCTGGAGAATATTATGTTAAGTGAAATAAGCCAGTCAGAGAAAGTATCATATGATCTCAGTTATATGTGGAGTCTAATAAATAAAATAAACTTAGGAATAAAATAGATCCAGAGACATAGAAGCATGGAACAGACTGTTGAATCTCAGTGGGGTGGTTGTATGGGTGGGAAGAGATCAACCAAAGAACTTGTATGCATATATTAGTATGCATATTGCATGGACATAGACAATAGTGTAGTGAAGGCCTGAGCAGTTGATGGGGGTGTGCTAGTAGGGGCCAATAGGAAAAAGGGAGGCATATGTAATACTTTCAACAACAAAATAAATAAAATTTTGAATAAATAATATTTAGGAGAAAAATATAACTACCATATGATCCAGCAATCCCACATCTGGGTGTATATCTGAAGGAAATGAAGTCACTATCTTGAAGAGATTACTGCACCTGTTTGTTCATTGTAGCACTAGTCACAATAGCCAATACACAGAAACAACCTAAGTGTCCTTTGAAAGATGAATGGTTAAAGAAGATGTGAAATAAGTCAGAGAAAGACAAAAGCTGTATGATGTCACTTATATGTAAAATCTACACTAATAAAAGAGAAACATGCAAATTGATATCACTACACTACACTACACTACCAGCCAATCAGGGTGAGTATGCAAATTAACCCAACAAAGATGGCGGCAGCCACGGAGCTGGAGGCTTGGGTGGCCTCCAGTGACCAACAGAGGAAGCCAAACTTCCCACCTAACCTGGCCTCTGCTGAAGGAGTGGCTGGGGACCTGGGTCGCCAGGAATGGGGCGGGAACTACGCAGCCGGGAGTGGGGTGCCGGGCCGCTGGGAGCGGGGTGGAAACTTCCTGGGGAAGGCGCTAGGCTG